CATAAAAATGTGCTGTGCTGTTTAGGAAAGTTCATTCAGAAAGACATACTACAACTTGCAAGTGTTATTTATATTGGCCAAGCTTATTCATATTATTGCCCTTTGTCCTTTATTTTAAACAGGATCAAATCGTAACCAAGATGGCTTATACCCTTACCAGACTAGTACTTAATTTGAGAGATTCGATCAACGAAACATATTACAGAATTAAACCGACGATATACCAACTAAACCAAGTAAACTACCAACCAAACCTACTAGACGAACCCAAACCCACAATACGTTTTACGGTAGTGTGATATAGAAATATGATTTTAAATGACGTGATACATTTTCTCAGCTCGAATGGACACGATTTCTCACCTGTTCTGTGGGATTAACTAAATCCCTTAAAATGTATGTACATAATCCAACCGCATTACATCAAACATTGCGTCATGTTATTTTCTTACGGGTCCACCTCCCCACCCCCGCAGTTAACAGCCTTAACAGAAACCCACCAATATCCCACCCCCACTGCGGCTACGCTGCACTGCTTCACCAAAAAAATCCCACCATGAATAAACCCCCCACCTCCCCTCCCCTCAACAGCGCAATAAAAACACACCTCCAGTTTAAGAGGTTCACCGTAGACGCGGTACACTGGCTTCACAAAGAGACGGAACAGGTTGAAAAACCAGGAACTCGCTGCCTCATACAGGTGGTATAACTCACTGGACCTCTGATACAATATTTACCTGCAGGGACTCGGTGCCTCAGACAGGTGGTACAGCTCACTGGACCTCTGATACAATATTTACCTGACTGGACCTTCACAGGTGAGTGGCCTACAGCATAGCATCGATTTGAATCATATATATATATATATATATATATATATATATATATATATATATATATATATATATATATATATATATATAAACCGATAAACACATTTGGCTTATAATTGGCTGGATTAAAATCACATAGTTAAAGATTAACCTAATCCGTCGGATTTAACCTATAACAGCCCTTATTTAACTTGTTTAGTTAGTGTAATTATAGCTGCGTGTTTTCTATTTTATTTGGGTGTTGAAGATCTCACAAGGCTCTACCTTGCTCTACCTTGTTCCTATACATGCGACCCAATTAATTAATCCATTGACAGCTGATTCAGATAGGTGTACCTGTTAACTGGTGCCTTCAGTTAAACTATTTTGTACCTGTTGCCCCTCCCCCGTTAAATCATTGTTAAACCACTGTCCATCTACCCCGTTAAACCATTGTTAAACCACTGTCCCTCTACCCCCATCGAGTTTCTCACCTGTTAGATCTCCGTTGTTGTGACAAAAACTAAATTACTCGTTCTAGAAATAGTTTTTCATTACCTTTGTTGTTGTTATTCTTCGTGTGCACTTTCTTGATTTTAAAGAGCAAACTCACCATAAACATTACCAGCACTAAATCACAGACAGAGTTCACTAAATCACAGAGTTCACTAACTCATTGAACACACGTACACTGAACTAAAACACGAGATCTGCATGCTAATTTGTCAGTCTATCAAGGAGTGCTCTGTTTTATCGCCGCATCAGACAATATTTTAATGAGTCCCATGTTTACTAATTCTCCTGATGTTTTTACCTCTGAAAATAAACTCTCAGTCCAGTTCTCTGACATGCAAGTAAAATATTGGCTAAAAATGCAAATTACGCAACGTCACTTGCGAACGAGTTAATCTTTTGTTTTTTATAAAGACAAAATGACAGACTTTAACGGGGCGCTTAGACACAAATTTATTTAACGTGGGCGGTAACTCGCGAGAATCGGCACGAGTTGTGGAACCTGCGTCATGACTGAGGTTTAATGAAGTGACATTTGGTGGATGTCAGCGTGCTCAGATGTCGAGGGTAGATTATAAGGTCAGGTGTGAGATTTGTTCTAGTAGACCCAGGGCATGTGCCCGTGTGCGTGGAACTATTCGAGTTCAATCCTTTGGGATAACGACCATATGTGTCACCATCTTATATTTGAAATGTTTCAATTCGAAGGACTTATGCGGTAGAGACACACGGAGTAAGTAACCTTTCAACTATAGCATCTCTTTAGAACTTTTATTTAGACAATATTTGATAAAGTTTGAAAAATTAACCATCACTGAGTTGAACTGAAGTAATAAGTTATTGAATCTTAAACAAAGGTTATAACTATATCCAATGGATAACCGCCAGTTATAGTTAAAACGTTTATATAAAAAATATCATGTCATCTTATCCCAAATCAAGTAAAGTGCCATTTCCAACTTGACGATTCAAGGGGGAGATGTAGTAGAGTTTACCTGCTTCTGTAACCTCGGCATATTAGGGAACACTAAGCTCGGAGCTAAGCCCAGCCGTATTTACAATCCCAAACTTAAGTCATGACATTGTATCCTTCAGAGTTGGGTAGACATCAGGGCCTGCTACGGACTCAGCTAAAGACACAAACTCGAAATTTTCTGGTTAGCAGTCGCACGTTCTACTATCCCACCACCCCACCCCACAATACCAAGCCTAAAAAGTTAAGAGATGTAGATCAAACTACGACGTTCAAATACCAGAGAACCGACAGTCAAGTATAACGAAAAGACCGCACGTTTTTTTACTTGCTAACTTTCTTTAGAAAAGTTTTTCGCGTCCTGTTCAGGAATTGGTTCAACTTTTTGAATCAGCTGTCAATGGAATTATTATTTGGGTCGGTTGTTGTGGAACAGCTTTTCAACTAGGCTCTCAGTGAGATTGTTACAGTTTTAGTCTAGTGAATGCTTTTGTGGGCTTCAGACACCATTCTACTATAAGTTGGCCGAGGGGTTGGGGGTGGTTGCGGAGGTGGAAGGAGGGGGGGGGGGGGTAGTGGCTTGGTGTGACCATTGCGATTTGAATGATAGTTCCGATATAAAAGATTACCAACAACTTACTTTTTACCAGGAATGTGTGAGTGGGTGGGTGAGTGTGTGTGTAATGGGGGGGGGGGGGGAAGAATCTAGGTGTCTAAAGATTTTGTCGTTAATTTGAATATGATTGATCTAATCGATATCTGTGCGTCAATAATTGGAGATCGTGACGACTAGTCAATGTAACATAATTCCGACATTGAAAGTTGATTTTTACCTGTGACCTAAATAAGTAACAAATGACCGGATAATTTCGACTTTAGTATTTAATGCAATCTATCAAACAAGGTAATGCTTTTTGCGGTCAACGGACGACGAAATAAGCAACATACTTTGTTGGTCTATTGTTTGGCGAGTAAATACATACAGTGCTTATATCCTCTTCCGGTAGTTGCTACTAAAATGCTGATGGTATCAATTCAGTTAAAACTGTTGATATTTCTTCTCATAAAAATCATTATTATTAGTTTCTTTGACTAATCCTAACCCTAAAATTAAACCTTAAGCTGCTGATTTAGACGTCAATTAGAAGACCATCAAGAATACATTTCACCCTAAAACCCATCACCTCAAAAAATACCAAAGCATTTAAACAAAGCAGACCTTGAAAACTTAAGATCACGTGATGCCCGGTATCAACAACCAGCAGGCCAACACAATGACGTCACGAACGTAATTTCTCTCCCTGACAAATGACTTCTGCCAAAAAAGTTTGAGACAATTCAAGTTCCAAATTTTCTCTGGCACAAAACTCTAGATCCTGGAGATTAAACACGGGGCATAACTCCAGCTACAGACTCCATTAGAGTTATCCTCCATTACCTGACTTGTACCCTACCCAGCACCCCCACCCACCTGTCCTCATCCCCCCGTAGATTTTACATCAAATACGTGTACACTTGTAGATTTGATTTCATGCTTAGGCATGCGCAGTAGATATATTTCTAGCTTCAATTTCCTTCAGCCAATGAAATAAAAACAAGAGGTAAACAAAATTGGCAACAACTGTGGACGAAAGTATTTACATATGTTCAGAAAGTATTCGATAAATATCGTTGAAAAACATCAAACTTATGCTTTATACATTTTTGTTGTTGTAAAAAGTGGTTTATTAATTTTAATACGCAAGGTTGTAGATGATGGTGACAGGTACCCGCTGTAGGTGATGTCATGTACATATAGATATGTAAGTCCTAGTGATTCATCAATCATCATCTTTTCCCGTTCCTGCCCAAAACACATCGGACAGATGAAGTAGAGTTCATCTGTTATAGTGACCTCAGCATTTGAAGGGTCAACATTATACTCAGCCGTCTTAGTTTTCCTTAACGTGAGTAAGGCACCAATCAGAGCTGGGCGGACTCAGGGACGTTCTACTGACTTGAACCCGGATTCAAACTCGAGATTTTCGGGTTATCAGTCTAGTGGCTAGAGTTCCAATTTTTAAAATGCAAGAAAATCAGTTTTAAAAAATTCTATCCAACCCTACCAAAACCAACCCATCGTTATCTATATCACTCACAAACTCTAAACCTCTAACCGATATTACACAACATCCATCCTCCCATCCCTGATAAACATCCCTCCCACATTCTCCCAGTTCTCCCAAAACATACTCCCCCATTTTCTCAGTTTTCCATAAAAATCACTGCCCCCCCCTTTCTTTTCCCCATCCTATAAATTATCTTCATAAACCTATCCCATCCCTCTTCAACCTGAGAACAAATCGTGACCCCTGTGACCGTTTTATTATCTAACAATTTATTCCCCACCTGCCACCCACCACCCATCAACCTCCCCCATATATCCTCCCCTCCTCCCTCCCCCACTTGTTCCCCACTAACTGATATCGTCATCACCTCCAGGTTTCACCAACGTCCTCATCAACTTGACGCCAACTCACCAGCACTCATCACGTGACCAGCTCAAGAGATACTTAAGCCAACATTGACGGCACTCACAGTTTCTCTCACACATCAGCTGTAGGGGACCTCAGTCCGTGTGTTCACATCACTTCAAGCAATCAATCGGATTAATTTATCGATTAGAAATCGATACTCATTGGATCCTCAAAGATCAGAGTTTGTGACGTGATACCTAGGGTGTGTGGCAGGAACGTGACGTCACGAGAATGGTCGTGTTTTTTGACATCCTCAAGGCCATCATTGTCCGATTTATTCTGCTGATCCACGCTCTGGTGGCGATATGGCGGGTGACGGTCAGCTACGAGGACCCCATGTACTGGCTCCTGGCGGTCATTCTGGTGCTCTTTGTGGCCGAGTCGTTCTACACGGTGATACGACGGAAGGGGAGGGAATACCAAAGGTGAGTACAGTCCCCTGTTTTTTTTTATATCTGATCTGTACATTCGGACTATAACTTTAGCTACAAAAACAATATAAATCAATTGCATGTTTTTAAAGATCAAGATAATAACTCATGTCACATGTGGTATAAAGCAAACAAAGAGATATTAGAATATATAAAGGATCGTAATTATTCCGTATAACACAAAAAAGTATTTTTACCCCGTCCCCATTTATTGTTATGTAACGTCTCTAAATGCATTCATACGTCAAATTATATAACATTACAAGAAGCCCCCCCCCCCCCCCCCTCACCCTATCGAACCCAATTACGACACCAGTTACTGTTACATAAACTTTAATTTTACAAAACCAACAGAGATAACCTAAAGGAGAATCGATTGATACACTTTCCTTAGAATCAGCTGCTATGTCTAAATTTTCTTCGAAGAAAGACTTTGCCAGCTGTGTTGAGTTTGTACGACGAATGACATGATAAACTCTCTATTTAGTTTCGTATAACGTGAGCACGACCCCTTTACTTGTGTATCACCTATCCCATATATCAACACGACCCTTTAGTTGTGTATCAAGAAATCCCATAGTTATGTCAATACAATCATTTTATGTGTGTGTCACCCACCCCTTATATCAAAACGATCCCTTATTTGTGTCACCAACCCCTTTATATCAAAACGATCCCTTATTTGTATGTCACCAACCCCCTTATATCAAAACGATCTCTTATCACTTGACCAGCCCTCCCCCACTCACCAATCCAGACACTTAAAACATTTCCCTACTTTGACGCCGTTAGAAAAAGATGAAAGGACGTTTATCATTTTCATTGTTAAGTGATACTTGTTGCCCTTATTAGGTCAAATGACCACGCGACCAGTTCAGTCAAGACAAAAACCATTTAACGCGTGTTCAAGTGTTGTACTTATTAAACCAATCCTCACTTAAATTAAACCAAAGTTTTGAGTTGATTTCAAAGGAGTTTCGTTACATCGGTAATTTATAAGTAGTGTCTGTCGTGTGTGTGTGTGTGTGTATAAGTGTGAGGCTGCGTGGGTAGTGTATACATGTATAGTGTATGTATATATGTATGTATGTATGTGTGTAACAGTCTACCAGTGTAATATAATTAGTTATCCTGATTCTCATGTTAATTAGTGTTTAATTGTCCATTGAGTAATGAACGACGCATGAATGCGATGATGTACAAGTAATTACCACAATGATGTTCAGATAATTAACACCACGATGTTGAGATATAATCATGACCCCCACTTTACCAAGTCCCACTCACAATTAACCCTAGTGGCGCCACTTGAATATCCATCATGCAAAAAAAAAAAGAAGTATAACTAAAAACTACATCAAGGGCCATAAACAATTATTCTTTAATTCGACCCTTCTAGTAGAAAGTTAGGAACTCACACTCGTTGTTTTAGTTTTTCGGTTCTTGAATCAATGCAAACTTTGTTATAACTAATGTTTGAATGTTGCTGTGTCTGTGTTGATTTACTGGCTCCGATAAGGTTGCAAGTGCTTGTTTAATGACTCGCATAAAATCATATGAATCATTATTTATAACTCCGGTATGGGATAACGTGACAAGATATTTGTGTCAATGTATCTTACGGACAAAGCTTCACTCCTCCTGTCAATGAGATTAACGGTTCCAGCAAGACTCTACTTCACCTACGCTTTTGCTCCTTCAGGACGAGATTGGTAGTTGAACTAGAAGGTCTCAAGTTTCAAATGTTTCGTTCTAGACTCTACTTCACCTGCCCTATTTGCACCCTTCAGGTCAAGAGAGGTCGTCAAACCTCTCCGACCCAGCAAGTTTCAAATGTCTCGTGCTAGACTCTACTTCACCTGCCCTATTTGCATCCTTCAGGTCAAGCGAGGTCATCAAACTTCTCCGACCCAGCAAGTTTCGAATGTCTCAAGCTAGACTCTATTCCACCTGCACTATTTGCACCCTTCAGGTAATTAGAGGCCATCAAACCTCTTTGGCCCAGCAAGTTTCAAATGTCTAGAGCTAGACTCTACTTCACCTGCCCTATTTACACCCTTCAGGTCAAGAGAGGTCATCAAACCTCTCTGACCCAGCAAGTTTCAAATGTCTCGAGGTAGACTCTACTTCACCTGCCCTATTTGCACCCTTCAGGTCAAGAGGGGTCGTCAAACCTCTCTGACCCAGCAAGTTTCGAGTTTCTCGTTGACTCTCATGTCAACACCGCCTACCTGGCTGTTATCGCCTCCCTTTATTGACCAACTGTCTGTCTATTCGCACGGACAAAGTATATAGACACAAGTATCGCTTTCTAAAGCTTCATTCAGGAGTAAAACGCCAGATTCAACAAGACGGAACACACGGATAACTCCATATTTTTTTGTGATGGGAGTTTGTTCCCCTTACCGCGGTGGTTTCCCCTTGCTGCCGTGAAGCTGTGAGATGGCTAATGATGGCGAGTTGGTTACTTAGACAAGCACTTGAACAAATTTGTAGGGACTAGTTCTAGAGTCGTAGCGGCGCTAGTGGAGATTCGTGGATGGCATTTGAATGACTTGTCATAAATGTCAACGTTCTGACATTTTGTATCCTGTGTCTAGCCAGTGTCCACACTTCCATCCCATATATATATATATATATATATATATATATATATATATATATATATATATATATATATATATATATATATATATATATATATATATATATATATATATATGCATTTATATAATAGAGAGAGCGAGATGTAGAGATAAGTAGAAATAGATGTCCATTTATAAGTTGATATATATGTTTACTTTTTTTAAAAATTTATACGTGATACGTATTGGAATATAATGTTGGCTTATCGTTCTCCAGGTCTACTTTAGGTATATGCCTGTACCAGAATCACAACTATCACACCACTACGTAACACACATTCTCGTTACAAATTAAAACGAAATATTTCTTATGATGTCGGAGTCAATATTAATTCACTCTTCTAGCGACCGTTTATCTTTACACATAAAAAAATGTATCTTGGGCGTAATTTTTTTCTCTCCCTGAACGTTTTTCTGTGCAATGTTGACTTTGAAAGCCATCTAGACCAAGAAATTAAAATAAACTGAGTTAGACGTTTTTAATGCGCATAAAATTAAAATAAATTCTAGCAATGTCATCGATTCTGCTATTATACTAGTTATAGTTTGAGACCTCTTAGGTTTTTATAAAATACATGTCGACCATCTAAGAGATGATCAGAGGCGTAGCGATGGGGGTGGGGGGGGTGGGGCAGGGGGGGGGGGGACATATGTCCCCGGGCGCCGACCTTAGGGGGCGCCAAAATGGGTTGTAAAAACAAATTAAAAAGTCAATTTTGCTGCCCTTTTTGCAGATTGAGGATGGGGGGGGGGGGGTGCAAATCGAAAAGTTGAGGGGGGCGCCAGATTGAAAGTTTGTCCCCGGGCGCCTCTGGAGATAGTGACCGTCTCGTTGCTGATAAACACAACAATAGTTGTTTTCTACTTTCATCCAAACCTTCGCTTTCCGTTTTAGTTTAAAAATAATATACAACAGTATTTCGGCTGCTAATTTAAAAAAAAATGATAAGAAATGTACAGCTTTTTGTTACTATAATATCAGTAAATACTAGTGTAGTCCATTTTAAAACTAAGTTATAGCAATGCATAATGAAAAGTTCTGTTTAAATTTAGCCCATGAAATACTATGTTACCTAGGATCTATCTGTAGGCCACTTCTCTTTCGTTTGGTGTTAAATGTTTGTTGTGCTGGTTTCTAAAAGTATCTAAGATGTCTGTTGTATTGTGTTCCTTGGCTCAACTAATGCAAGGTTATAAAATGTCGTTTGTTCTTTGTTTACTGTCATATATTTAAAAAAAAGTAAAATTCCCCAGGCGGTCCATTATGGGTAGATGAAGTGGAGTTCATCTAATTCTGTGACATCGCCGTATGAAGCCATAGTGTGTACAGCACTTATCCCAGCAGACTTTAGTTTCCCTAACGTGAGTTAGGTACCAATTAGAGCTGGGTGGACTCAGGGACGTTCTACAGATACGAACCCGAGATTCAACCTTGAGACTTTTTGGTTAGCAGACGTATGGTCTACCATCCAACCACATCGTTACATATATTGTCCCCAATATATGAAATAAATTTACGCCATATCCTGGTTGGGTGAAAATTTACTTAACAACTTCCCTGAGATAGGGGCGAGTGTGTAATTTAAATCATAACCAGCTGTTTATCCATGATATGACAGACGTCAACACTAGATCTGGCTTTTGTCAAGGGCATCTTTAAGATGGAACCTCTCTTGGCCAAACGTTGAGAGAACCCATTTTTGTGTAGAGCTAATCTCGTGGGGTAGCTGAGTACGCCACCCCACCCCTACACTGTCTCCCCCCCCCCCCACTTCACCCTAGCTCTCTTACACATACCCCAACCGCAATAATTCATGACTCGGTACACATATGATTAACATAAATATTATGTCATTGTACCCCACATACTTTTGTATCACCTACCAAAGTTCTTGCTGTTAAAAAGACCTTTCTTTAAATGTTTGCTTTGTCATAAAAATATTCCACTAATAATGGACTGAAAACCTAATCATAAATCTCTAGATAATTTAACCAACCTAACACTTAGAAACCCTCATCAAAAATCTCTACTTAACACTAAACCCATATAATTAGACGGCCGAACCAAACACAGAGGCGCCTTCTATACATAGCCAGTCTGGCGTACCAGGTTCAATGGTGCCGGTAAGCCGACTCAAGAAAACTTTGTCCATTCAAAGATTTGATTAAAGCGTTTTAAGATGAAAAAAATATTTCAATTAAGTTGGGGTGTGTCTACTGTTATTGAAGTTATACGTATACACTCGAGATTTTAAAAACGTTTGAAAAAATTAAGATAAAAGTACATTAAAGGTGGCGGTAGGAGTGGGTGCAATCACAAATTAAGAAAATTAAGCTGAATCGAATCAAATTTTTTCGTATGCAATCGATTAAAGATAATTACATCAGCTTGATTGTTTTAAGTGACAAGTAATCACATGACAGGATTTGTTGCTTTCCTACATACATAATATGTTTTTTGTTGTTACAAAGACATATTCATATGTTTTTTGTTGTGGCGATAATCAACATACAAAAACATTTTATTTTATATTGCTAAACAACTTATACGAACCAATTTGACACATATATTAACTTTAATTCTAACTTTATGTAATGTAATCTATAACCGGTCAAATAAGAAGTTCTACACAGTACACCTTACTAGTGTACTAGCAGTTAGGTGGCTCAACTCTCATAGTGTGCTGCTATACGACGTCAAAATGGTTACATATAATTATTTAAGCTGTGTGTAATCTTTCAACAACAAATATTCTTTTCAACTGGTATACGTAGTGAATGCGATTGACAGTAAGTAATCAAAGAGTTATAGGCCTAGAGGGAGCGCAGGAAAGGGGGGGGGGGGGAGCGTCCTGCTCTGAAAGCCGTTAATTCAGACGGAGTAGGGTTGGTTTGTTGACTCGACAGTTGGACAACATAGGGGAGGGGGGGTGTAGGACTTGTCTATGTTTGATGTTGTGTGCATGACGGACTGTGGGGGGGGGGGACTGGAAATGGCCGGGGATCAAGTTCCGGAAGTCAGGTCTCATGTGGGCGGGGGTTGTTGACACAGCGATGGTTGAGTCGCTAGTTCACCGGCGCGGCAAGTATTTGACTGATACGAATCGGCTCGAATCTACAGCTTTTTCCTCCGTATTCGTTCTACGAATTGTGACCACGGAGGGGTTACGGTAAATATGGGGACGGAAAATAAATAAAATGTTGAAAAATTAACCGATACCATGTTCCCTCATGTTCCCAGATTTATGCCATGTTCCCTAATCTCCCCAGATTTATGCCATGTTCCCCATCTCCCCAGATTTATACCATGTTCCCTCATGTTCCCAGATTTATGCCATGTTCCCCCATCTCCCCAGATTTATACCATGTTCTCCCATCTCCCCAGATTTATACCATGTTCTCCCATCTCCCCAGATTTATGCCATGTTCCCTCATGTTCCCAGATTTATGCCATGTTCCCTAATCTCCCCAGATTTTTGCCATGTTCCCCATCTTTCCAGATTTATGCCATGTTCCCCATCTTTCCAGATTTATGCCATGTTCTCCCATCTCCCCAGATTTATACCATGTTCTCCCATCTCCCCAGATTTATGACATGTTCCCCATCTCACCAGATTTATACCATGTTCCCCCATCTCCACAGATGTATGCCATGTTCCCTAATCTCCCCAGATTTATACCATGTTCTCCCATCTCCCCAGATTTATACCATGTTCTCCCATCTCCCCAGATTTATGACATGTTCCCCATCTCCCCAGATTTATACCATGTTCCCTAATCTCCCCAGATTTATGCCATGTTCCCTAATCTCCCCAGATTTATGCCATGTTCCCTAATCTCCCCAGATTTATGCCATGTTCCCTAATCTCCCCAGATTTATACCATGTTCCCTAATCTCCCCAGATTTATACCATGTTCCCCATCTCCCCAGATTTATGCCATGTTTCCTGTTCTACTTGGGCTGTGTACTGCCGTGCATCTGGTTGCTGGAACTGGACAAATCCAGGAAATACATGCAGGGGAACGAATCCGCCCTGGACCAACCTGAGGTCAACCAAACCGTCTCAGGATTAGTGGTGAGTTACCTCTCTACACCAACATTGTAGTGGTGAGTTACCTCTGTACACCAACACTGTAGTGGTGAGTTACCTCTCTACACCAACATTGTAGTGGTGAGTTACCTCTCTACACCAACATTATGGATACACATTCCTGTTGCATTTACCACGCTCCTTAACACGAGTGGATTTACTTCATTTCTAGACACACAGCAAGTGTATTTGTACTTTGAGTTTATAACAGTAGCAATGATAAGAACGGTGTACTAAAGATTTAAAATAGAAATCGTGATCTGTTTAACAGGCAATAAATGCTTTATGACACCTATAAAGACATCAAATGCCACTTGACATTTGTAGAGGTTATAAAAAAAAATACAACAGAATGTTATGTAACGTTTTTTTTTTGTTATGTACAGATTCCAACCGAGCAACTGACCCCCAACACGTGGATTCTTCTAGTCGAGGAGATGATGCCCTACTTCCTGTTTGTGACACGATGGATCCTCCCCAGGGGCAAGGTCACCAGAGAGCAGCTGGTCGAACTTCTGTTCGCGTTTATCGGCATCGGTGGAGACATCATGGAGTTCTTCTCCCTCATAGGCGAGCAGGAGGTCCGCACAAGCTTGACCTTGAACTACGTCGTGCTGGCCATCTGGTCCTTCTCCGTCCTCCAGTTCGTCATGACCATCACCGTCATCCACCAACCCAAACGGCAACGAAACATCACCGTGGTCGTTGAAACTACAAAAGACCCGGATGAAGACCTCGAGTTTAAAAAATTCCGGAATGAAATTTTTGCAATATTTCTTACAATGGGCATGCAAGACCTCCCGTTCCTGATAGTCCGTGTCTACACAATGGTCACCTTCAGCCTCACTGGGTACAGCCTCATCTTCTTCTCCTCCAAGAACGTCATGATCATCGGCCTGCTCTTCTATAAAGTAGCCATTCTCTGCCAGAAGCGATACTGTCCGAACCCAGACGAAGAGGACGATGATGATTCTGGCAAAGGAAGTGCCCGCTGGGGCAGCTCTAAGATACTCAACACCCACGGCTCGCAATACATTGACCCGTACACAGCCGTGGACATTTCAGACAATGGAGTGGGTAAAAACCACATCCACCCACCCGCCAACAACGCGAAAACCAAAGCTGACAAGAAGAAGAAAGAAACAGCTAAAGTCCGTGACACCAACAAACAAACCCAACTGGCGTTTTCTAACCCAACTAACGACTTAAACTCACAGATCAACAACCCGCAGGGATCTTCACTGCTGCCTCGATCTTCCAGACCCTCCCCCACGGCATCTAGAGCCTCAAGCAAACACTCCGTCAAAGACAGCTTGTACCTGGAGATTGACCACACCACGCCACGGGAAGATGAATCCAGCGACACTGGCGTTATTCAGATGACCAAGCCTCCAAAGGCGTCAAAGAAATTATCCGGCTCCAGCAAGTCTTCGAAAAAACAAACCCCTTCCCACACCCCCAAACCGACCCCCGCAGGAACCCCTAAACACACCCCAGCACCGTCGATCACAAGTTTCGGCGACTTCGGGGTCAGCGCCCCATCTAGTCTGCAGGACAGCCCCCCACAGTCCCCCACCTCAATAAACATCATCCTACCCCCCGTGCAGACTGCCCGGCCCGGGGATCCAGGGTTCAAACCCTACGTGTCCGTCTTGAGGCTAGAGTAGGGAGAAACACACACTGGACACAGAACTGTAGAGATGAATAAAACTTTCATCAGAAATTACTCAGTTTGACTTCTTCATAGGTTCAATTTGGACATTCAGAATTGACTTGACAGTAATCGGAATTCATTTTGTTGAACAATTTCGACTCCGGTTTTGAATTAAACTTTAGATGTTTATACAAACCAAGTTCTTATCCAAGTACCGACTCCAAATTCTGACTCAAAGTTAGGACTTCAACATCTGACTCATGAACAGCAATTGTACATAGACACCGCATCTATGGAAGACAAAATAATGCTTAGTGCCTCGTGTATAGTACACAATCCCAGTACACCCCCGCAGTACACAATCAGTACATACAAAGACATAAGCTTATATTTACCTTTTTCTTGATGTAATATCATATATATTTATTTTTAAATTAAGCCTATTTGTGTTATAAATAACCAATACAATTTATTGTATAATATTTATTTACTTTGCAAAAAATCCCAGTTGATCAATATCTCCTAAAGTATTACATTTTATCATCCTCACGCATGATCATTCCTTCGCCGTGTAAGTAAATTGTTCCGGAGATTATGTCCTGGTTGTAAATTTTAATGTCTGGCAGTATTATATGTAGGTTGTGATATATGTCTTTTGTTCTGTCTTCAGATCAAACTTATAAAACCATCTCCATAAAGCACATATCACGTAAGACTTGTTATTTCAAACTTGTCATGTTATAAAAACTTCATCGTTGCATACGAATCATAAGGCTGAACTTGTTATATACAACTTTTCTCTACGCTTGTTATCAGTTTATACTACCTTTATTTTAAAATTGTCATTATACGAATCTTGTCATAGGAAACGTGTTATCCTATCAACTTCGTCATCACATGAACTTTACCGTATGAAACTTGTCAAGTTTACTTTATCATAGGAAACATGTGATTATATTAGTCTTGTTGTCTTGGAGATTACTCCATCATAATCTACAACAAAAATAGACTGAGACAAGACAGTAATCACTGAACACGTGACCTGAAATAGAAATGGCGTGTGGTGACCATGGCAACGGTCACGTCTTAATTACAGAATCCCATGGATGATGAAGTTTTCCATGGTTGATGATATGTTACTGAATGCAGTGGGTAACGCGAGGCATTTAGTGAGTATTGTGACAATAACGGACACAATTAAGGTGACAGAGTTGTCGTGAAGTCATTGTCACGTTAGTGTTGTGATAGTAAAGTGACAGAAACGTGACAATGGTGTGACAGTGTTCCCTGACACTGTAGACGTGAAGTTGTCATCGTGACATTCTCAACGTGACAGAGTGATATTGTTCACTGACATTATAATCATGGTGTAATCATGACTATATATTATGACAGGCTATCGTGACATACAATGTAATCATTTTACCTTCAATAAGATAAACAATCATTCACAGAATGCCCTTATGCTATTATTATGCTTTGTTATAGTATTGTATTACATGTTATTTTTATATACTTTTTTTTACTCATATTTCATTTGAGCCTATATCTGTGCATCGACCAAACGTCATTTGTTAATTTTTTGTTATGTGAACTCACTCTCGTGTCATTTCAATTACTTGTCTGTTATTTTATGTTATGTATCCCATGTCTTTTCAATAACTTGTTTGCTATTTTTTTTAATTATGTATCCCATGTCATTTCAATAACTTGTTTGCTATTTTTTTTAATTATGTATCCCATGTCATTTCAATAAGTTGTTTGTTATTTTTTTATTATGTATCCCATGTAATTTCAATTACTTGTTTTAACAAAAACCATACCCAGTGATGACTTTGGCGCGAATAACAATAAAAACATATTTTTCCACATGCAATTGTTGTCCTGAATTTCTTGCCCGAATCAAATCTATTCACACAACTATTCGGTGTGCTGTTCTGACGCCTGGTTGTTTAAATACACGGAAGTTCAGTTTCTTGATCTGAATTTCTACACAGTAGATGAAGTAGATTTCATCTGTTTCTATGACCTCGCCTACGTAAGAACGAAGATCTAGCAAAAAAGTTTTGATCTACTACCTGCGGGTCCCACGCACGTTACGGCGTCTAAAGAATTATGAAACACGGAAAACTATATTCAACTCCATTCGTGTTTAGATCAACTCCATTTCAAAAAACGGAACTTAACTTCTGCTTGTCATAAAATTACGTTCCCCACATCATAAACAAGTTCAAAGGTCGAGGTCAGCCAGCGATGGGGCTCTGTGTGGTACAGAGATTATTCAACATGGAGTTAAAACTCTAGCCACCCCACCCCACCAGAATGTATTATTACCCTCTTGAGTGCCTCCACGCGTAGTTAAACTTGCCTGACATAACGCGTGCTATATCCACATACAGCAGGCTTCATGCTTACCCGGCAAATTTTGATTCGTTTATAAGGAGATTTCAGATAACTCGTGCCGGCTTGAGAAAGGGGAGACTATTAAAGATGATAATGGGATATTGTGTAGGGTTCATAAACTAAGGACAATGTAAGATATATCTTATTTAATGGATTTACAGGATCTTAAACAGCGATACAAGATAGTTTTCGCATTTTATACACAGGTGCTGAATTTGTATACAGGTTCAACTCAACAAATACAGGATTAATCACACGTTGTTTTGATCAATATAATAAGCACATTCACTAACTAGAATGCATACTCAACAGGACAAGCTGTCTTTGAAAATATTCAAATAAGAATTCATTACCTGATGTCTTAAAAATTTAAGCACCTCGTGAACTTAAAGATTTTTAGAGAATATTTTTTATTTTCCGCTAACTCATCATTAACACGAAATGTTAATTTACTTTCTGTTTTACAAAAATACAAGACAGGCAAATATAGTCTGAATGTAACGGTGTCTGCAATATTGTACAAGACATTTTTTGTTCAACATTTATCAACATATCATTTAAATCTAACCAAGAACTTAAAAACTGAATCCAGATTAAATCGTTGACAATAGACAAAAATGGAATACAATGGTTCTTTTTATCAGGTAATAAATGTTAAGTAAAATATTTTGATGTATGAGAGAAATTGCAGCGAGACCCTACACATGAACCAAAGCCGGCTTTCACCGGGAGATGTATTTCAAGTACTTCATTAAGATTAAAGTCTAGATGCTGTTCGTGATGAAAGAACTTTAGTGTGCAGTTTTTTAGTGACGTGTTGCGCATGCGTGAAGGCAAGCTTCAGGGTTATCTATTTTTAGACAAGATCAGATGCTTTGATTCTTAAACCACGCGTTTTACATATTTTAAAATAAACGTGTCAAGTTTATTTCAGTTCTGCAGAAAATATGAAACTGTTTAAAATTGTAGTCTTTCTTTTGTTATTTACGTAGTGGAGGAAGCGAGAACGGAGTAGACGATTGAAACATAAGATTGAGACAAAAAAGTGAAAAATAATTTAATACGTAGGCAGGTAAAGAGAAAGGTAGATGACGAGTAAAGGAGAACGGCACAGGAGAAAAAAACTGAGGTAAAATCCATTAAAGTTGGTAATTTAAAAAAAAAACAACTTTTCTTCTAATGTGAACTAAAATATTTGATTTGTGGCAAAAGCATGAAAAGAAAACTTGAATTCTATTCAAAAGCATAAACAATTTAAAGCACCGGATATATATGTTGGCAAATTTAAATCTAAGGGTAGTAACACATAAAATGTCTGAAGTTTTTGTTTTAATTGGTTATTTCCCTTAAAACGTAAGCATTTCAAACAAGGTAAACTGTTGTTTAAAATATGTAAATGAATTTTAAATTTACGACATTAAGATAATGAATCCTTATATTTTTTTCAGGCACGTAGATTTACATTTTTGGAAATGAACTTATAGGGCATGAAATAACAAATGAATAAATACGGAGTGAACTATAATTAGGAAGTAATGAATAACAGATATGAGCAATTTTTCTACGCTTGGAAAAAACAACAGATTATTTTCTTTAACTAGTCCGCTGATCATGTGATCTTGTGATCCTGTGATTTTGTGATCTTGTGATCTTGTGGTCCTGTGGTCCTTTGATCCTGTGGGCCTGTTGGGCCTGTGGTTCTTTGGTCCTGTGGTCCTTTGATCATGTAGTCCTGTGGTCCTGTGATCCTGTGACCCTGTGGTTCTGTGGGCCTGTGGTCCTGTGGTCCTGTGGTCCTGTGACCCTGTGGTCCTGTGGTCCTTTGATCCTGTTGTCCTGTGGTCCTGTGGTCCTGTGGTCCTGTGGTCCTGTGACCCTGTGGTCCTGTGGTCCTTTGATCCTGTGGGCCTGTGGGCCTGTGGTCCTGTGGTCCTGTGGTCCTGTGGTCCTGTGACCCTGTGGTCCTGTGGTCCTTTGATCCTGTTGTCCTATGGTCCTGTGGTCCTGTGGTCCTTTGATCCTGTTGTCCTGTGGTCCTACAGCAGTACGATATAGATTGTACACCTTTTGGCTAAAGTGAAAGATCACATTTTTTTACAGTCACCAGAACATAACAACATACCAGTGATAAATAGTGTCACGTACATAGCTGTCCCATCAAACATAGCTGTCACATAAAAACAAACAACTGCTGCCTTGTAGTTTGTTCTTGGTTGGACAAAGGCTATGGAAGCAAATCCAAAAAGAAAAACAGGCTGACATCGGAGTCAATGGCCTCAATGTCGCATAACCAGTTGACACGTATCCTTAATTGTGATGGAGAGGGGTCTCTTCCAACACTAAGATTAAGAACGAAGAAGAAGAAAAAGTCACATAAAACATAGCTGTCACATAAAACATAAGGGGTCATCCATAAATGACGTCACACTCGTAGGGGGGGTCCGTAATTTTGTGACGATATGTGATGAGGGGGAGGGGGGGGGTTCAGATGTTGCGACGTCACATTTTTGCATTATAAATAAACCGGGAGTGATCTCCCCTAAACTTTCTCGAATATTCTTATATAAAATAACAGGGGATGGGAACTCGGGCTATAGACATGATTTTTAATCCATTTTAAATACTTAAAGTTTTAAAAAT